TCTGGCCCTTTAAATACAGTTCCTCATGTTGTGACCCAACCATAAAATTGTTCTCATTGCTACTTCATAACTGTAATGTTGCTACTGTTATGAATCGTAATGTAAACATCTGATATGCAGGATGGTCTTAGGCGACCCCTGTGAAAGGGTCATTCGACCGCCAAAGGGGTCGCGACCCACAGGTTGAGAACCGCTGCTTTAAGCCAAAAATGGCAATGAGAGACAAAGATGGTCATTATATAATAAGCAGGTCAATTTATCAAGAAGATATAACTGTAAATATTTATGTACCCAACATCAGAGCACCTCAATATATTAAAGTAATACTAAGAGATCTGAAGAGAGAAATATACCCTTCCAAAAAAAACCCCAAAACAACAAAAAGCAGTAATAGTAGGGAATTTCAATACTGCACTTTCAACAATGAATAAATCAGTCAGATAGAAAATCAACAAGGAAACACTGGACTTGAACTATACTTAAATCAAATGAACTTAACAGACATATGTAGAAAAATCCATCCAACAATAGCAGAATACACAATCTTCTCAAGTACATATAGAACATTCTTCAGTATAGATCAGGGGTGGGCAAACTTTTTGACTCGAGGGCCACAATGGCTTCTTAAACTGGACCGGAGGGCCGGAACAAAAGCATGGATGGAGTGTTTGTGTGAACTAATATAAATTCAAAGTAAACATCATTACATAAAAGGGTACGGTCTTTTTTTTTTTTTTTAGTTTTATTCATTTCAAACTGGCCGGATCCAGCCCACGGGCCGTAGTTTGCCCACGGCTGGTATAGGTCATATGATAGGTCACAAAACAAGTCTCAGCAGATTGAAATCATACCAAGTATCTTTTCTAACTACAATGATATGAAATACCAGAAAGCAAGCTGGAAAATTCACAAAGAAATCAAAGGGAAATAAAAAAATACCTTGAAACAAACAAAAACAGAAGCATAACTATGAAAGCCATTTAGATGCTGCAAACACAGTCCTAAGAGGGAATTTTTGTAGCAATAAATGTATGCATTAAGAGAGAAGAAAAATCTATATTTATGGTGTCTGAAAGATACTTAGACTTATCAGGGTAATTACTTAGTAAAGTATGGAAATGTCTAATCACTATGTTGTACATCTGAAACTAATATAATATTGCATGCCAACTGTAATTGAAAAATAATTTCTTAAAAAGGAACAAAAAAATCTCAAATAAACCACCTCACTTTATACCTCAAGAAACTAGAAAAAGAACTAAGCACAAAGTTTGTAAAGGAAGGAAATAACAAAGATCAGAGCAGAAATAAATGAAATAGAAAAATGATAGAAAAGATCAACAAAACTAAGAGCTGGTTTTCTGAAAAGATAAACAAAACTGATCAACCTTTAGGTAAACTAAGAAAAAGAGAGGATTCAAATAAATATAAACAGAAATGGAATGAGACATACTGATAACACAGAAATACAAGGACCATGAGAGACTACTATTAACAGTTATATACCAACAAGCTGGATAACTGAAAATAAATGGATAAATTCCTAGAAGCATACAAGCTACCAACACTGAACCATGAAGAAATAGAAAATCTGAACAGAACAATCTATAATAAAAGGGTAATATGCTAATTAGACTAGACGTCTTCCAGGCGTCATTCTGGTTGTCCTTCCTGAGGAAGCTGGGGCTCAAGGGAAGCAGCCCAGGTCCCAGGTGCCTGTGGGTGGCCTGAGGAAAGACAGCCTGGGTCCCGGATGCCTGCCAGCGGCCCTAGGGAAGTCAGCCTGGGTCCCGGGTGCCTGCTAGTGGCCTGAGGAGAGAACCCCGGGTCCTGGATGCTGGAGGGAAGCCAGTGTGGCAGCCCAGGGAAGGAAGGCCTAATCTTGCACAAAATTCGTGCATCAGGCCTCTAGTCTATAATAATAAAAGCATAATATGTTAATAAGACCGGACATCATTCCAGATGTCCTTCTGGACAAAGTTGGGGCAACCTATATACTCAATGCAATCTCTATCAAAATTCCAATAGCAACCTATATATTCAATGCAATCTCTATCAAAACTCCAATAGCAACCTATATATTCAATGCAATCTCTATCAAAACTTCAATAGCAACCTATATATTCAATGCAATCTCTATCAAAATTCCAATAGCAACCTATATATTCAATGCAATCTCTATCAAAACTCCAATAGCAACCTATATATTCAATGCAATCTCTATCAAAACTTCAATAGCAACCTATATATTCAATGCAATCTCTATCAAAATTCCAATAGCAGAAAAAATCCTAAAATTTGCATGGCACCACAAAAGACCCCCATTAGCCAAAGTAACGCTGAGAAAGAACAACAACGCTGGAGGCATTACCTTCCTGATTTCAAATTACAGTGACCATTGAACAACACAAGTTTGAAATGTGCAGATCCACTTACACATGAATTTTTTTTTCAATAGACCCTTGCAGTTCAAACCGGTGTTGTTCGAGGGTCAGTTCTGTGGTTAGAAAGCCATATATACAGAGGGCCAACTCTAGTTATATGCAAATTTTCCACTGTGCAGGACGTGTGTGCCCTTAACCCCTGAGTTGTTCAAGGGTCAATTATAGTTCGAATATTACAAAGCCATAGTAATTAAAACATGGTGGTAATCATTTTGCAAAATATGTGTAGCAAATCAACCAGTTGTACACTTTAAATTTACACAATGCTATATATCAATTATATCTCGGTAAAGTTGAAAAGAAAATAGGAAGAAAATTTATAGGCTAATTTGATGGAATATTTTTCCTTTTTCTGTTCTTTGTAATGGTACGTTACTTTCCAAGTCATATGTGTATGTATATGTGTGTATATACTTGTATATATACACACACACAAATACATATACACATATACATAAAATTTAGGATAAATCATAAAATATCTTTAAGAAAATGGCTTACTTACCTACCTCCTAATTTGTCTGCAGCCCAACTTACCATCTTTCAATATCTGTACTAACATAAAAGGTACAATAAAGTAAACTACTTTTGCTAAAAGAGTTACGGATTGTGAATTTTTTTTAAGGTCAGACATTCAGAGTCACAAGTCAGCTGACAAGTGCTGCTCCAGATGCATAACACAAATGACACAGAACAAAATGGGCTGAGTTGACATCTTATGTAGGTAATTTGTGTAACTTCCAGCTCCTCCTCTTCCACCTCTAAGGACCGACGCAAATCAGCTGCTTCCTTTGCTTTCCCCATTTTACACACACATCGCTAACATCCCTCAACATCTGACCTTTATTAGTGGATCCTCACAGGCATCCCAAGCAAGGAAAACGAAGGCCTCCCCTCATCCTGCTTAGTCATTATGGTTTTGAATGCTGTGAGAGATATACATATGTAGTCCTTCAATGCTGAAGACAGTAACCATGCTTTTCAAATTCCAAATAAGGCAAATGAGTTGATATTTGCCTAAGGTATTTAAAATATGAAATATGTCCAATGCACAGTTCATCTTATATATAGTACAGCAATATGTTCTTAGAGCCTGGCACCTCCAGTCCACACCTCTGTTATCAACCCCCCATATCAACTCAGCCCTGCCTTGCGGGGAACCCACACTCCCAACACCAAATGCCTAGGCTGCTCCTGCACATGGGCTGGAATGTGCCTACAACGCAGAGAAAAATCTGTGATGTTGTGTCAATGCAGAAATAATTTGAAGAAGAGATTCAGAATCCAAATTCCCTCATCAAACTTTCAATTCATCCCCTCCACCCCCAAAATAAATTGACTATGTATTTTATCTTACCTTTTTGACCATGGAGAGGAACTTACAGCTTAAATTAATCAACTATATAAAAATAAATTATTATTATCCCACCTATGATAATCAGCCTACTGAATCTAAATATTGATCTGCCAACATATATTTCAGTAACCCTACTAGAATTAAAACTCTAAATAATTTTGTCAAGGGCTAAACTATGTGAGGAGAAAAAAAAACACTTTCTTCTCTCTTCAATTTATGCAACTAAATACATTTAAGTCTTTTATTAAAATGTTAGAGCGAAATAATAGGGATAGGGGTAGAAAAAAATTAATCAATTATAGTGGCCCTGAAGGAACTGGAATGGAATTGTGTTCTGCAAAGCAGGGAAGGGTGGTTTGGAAGGAAAATAGTCCTGTGTTGAAAGTCTAACTTTTGGGGAAACAATTGAGAAAAAAAAAGATAATACAGGAATGGGGAGAAGGTGGGAGCATATTATTGGAAAGGCAGAAGAGCTGGACAGAAAAGGGAAGGAGCTGCGTAGAAGCGTAAATGAGAAGCCTGCCGACTGTGGGAAAGAACCTGGCAGAAAGAAGAGGATGCGTGGAAATGACACATAAGACTGAAAGCGGAGCTGCGAGTGAGGAGATGACTGGGTCCAGGATCCAGGAAGTGGAGGAGGCAGGAGGATGGGCTGGGGAGAGAGAGTGGGGTGGGGCCGTGGGATGAGGATGGCGGCGAAGGATGCTGAGTGGGTGAAGGGGCCGAGGCTAGTGCGGAGGTGGAAGCGGTCAGGGATGGAGCTGCGCAGAGCGGGGTACAGTGTGGGAGAATGAGCGGGGCCCAGACAGAGGGCTTGGGGTGAGGTGGAGAGGCGGGTCTAGAGGGAGAAGAAGCAGAGGCTAGAGTAGCAAGGAAGACCCTGGCTACGCTAACGGACTGAACGAAGGAGGCCAACTGGTGGAGTGGAACAATTAGAAAGGGATGGAAGTGGAGGATTGCGAATGTGAGAGGGAGGGTGAGGCTGCGTGTGGGGAGGGGGGGAATGACGGGGGGGATGGACGACAGAATCGTGGTGGGTAAGACAGAACAGGGTCGGGGCAGAGGCCGGGTCTGAAGGGCACGGAGAACAGTCGGGTGGAGGAGGAAGGAGGTGCACTAAACGGCAAGCCCTGCAAAGCCTGGGGGGGGGGGGGGGGAGCAGGTAGCCATAGGTGGGGGTTGGGCGGCTAAGTCCTCACCGTGGGGTCCGCACAGGATGTGCCGGGCAGAAGGGGCAGACTAGGCTCGGGGTTGGACATCATCGCATCCGCCACGCCGCCGCCGCCGCCTTGGAAAGGTTTTGTGGTCCCCGGTTGCCCGGGCGACGTGCCGCGTTCGCAGGTCTCTCTGCGTTCCATGGCGCTGCCACCCAGCCCGAGCACCTGCGAGTGAAGTGCAGGGCCGCGGGCGCGGAGCAACGGGTCTGCGCGTGATCTGAAGGCGGGACTCAGCGGTCTCGCGGTAAGACGACCCCAATGAGAGGGGCGTGGTTAGTAGGCGTCGCGGAACTGGCCCCGCCCCCTGGGCTCCCTGGCCGGGAGATGGCGACGGGGGCGGGGTGGGAGCGGGAGGCGGGAGGGGCGGCAGGGGGAGGAGGCGGTTGAGGGGATACTGTAGCTCTCGCGGGGAAGTCCGGCGGCCGGAGTGGGCGTTGCAGGAGTTGAAGTAGAAGGGAAGGCCCTTCCTTCCCGCCTCCCCAGGCCTCCCCGCGCCCCGGCGTTCTGAGCGCAAGCGCTCTTTCCGCCCAGCGCTGGGAAAAGGGCGCTGGTCCCGCTGGAGTGTGAGTGGACAGAATAGTCCCAGAGATGTAAATTACACCGCGTAGAGAACATCGTCATTAATATCTAATAAGTGTGCATGTGGCCAGGTGGGACCACTCTATAAAGTGCATGATTGTCTATGTATGCTGTAACATCTGAAACGGATACAGAATAATATTGAATGTAAACTGTAATTGAAAAAATAATTTAAAAAAGAAGTGGTTAGATTAGAGCGTCAGCCGTGGACTGAAAGGTCTCGGGTTCGATTCCAGTCCAGGGCAGGTACCTCGATCCCTGGCCCTGGTTGTGGCCCTCGTTGAGGCGCCTATAGGAGGCAACCTATCAATGTGTCTCTCTCAGGTGGATGTTTTTCTCTCTTTCTCTCTCCCCCTCCCTTTCACTATCTCTCTAAAAAAAAAAAAAAAAAAAAAAAAAAATCAATGGAAAAATCCTTGGGTGAGGATTAACAACAACAAAAAAGGATGTTACCTACCCCCATGGTGCTTCCTGGGGGCAGGAGCTCTGCATTATTCATGGTTGTCTCTCTGTTGCTTAAGGATGTTCAATGAACTAATGCAACCTTGTTGCCTCTAGTCCTCCCACCGCAGCATCATCTGTTTCTCCCCATTCGCTTCTCTTTATTCTATTGGCAACCCCTGCAGTTCTGCACACTCTCAACTCTTGCAGGCAGGGCCTTGCATACTGACTTCAGGACACTCGATATTGGTTGGCTGAAGACCTACAGATGCTCGTCTCAATTCTGATCTCTAGGTTATGCCTGCCTGTGGCAGCATGAAAACAGCAGAACCAGGAGGGGAAACACATCTCCTTCAAAGAAAAAACTAAGTCAGAAGACTAACAGTTAGTGAGGTGACATACTCTCTGCACCATATGTATTCTCACCTGTGGTGCTTTTTATAAAACTTGATTAAATTAGTCCTTAAGAGAAAATTTAACTCTCTCCTGACACATTTGCAAGAAGACTTAAAAAAAACAAAACAAAACAAAACCACAAAAATGATCTATCAGCACCAAGGAGCTTAAAAATAAAAAGCAACCCGAACCCTGGACTCAGACCCAGCCCAACCCAGACACTGGATTCATTAGTTCTGAAATGGAGCCCAGGGACCTGATTTTTATAACAGCCGTTTCTGTTGGTGTAAACAATAACATAAATGGAGCCACTTTAAAATGGAACTGGAGCCCTAACCGCTTTGGCTCAGTGGATAGAGCATCAGTCTGCGGACTCAAGGGTACTGGGTGTGAATCCTGCTAAGGGCATGTGCCTTGGTTGCGGGCACATCCCCAGTGGGGGGTGTGCAAGAGGCAGCTGATCGATGTTTCTAACTCTCTATCCCTTTCCCTTCCTCTCTGTAAAAAATCAATAAAATATATTTTTAAAAAAATGGAACTGGAACTGCCACGTCAGGGGAACTGCTTTGCAGGTCTTATGTCCCAGATCTTTGGAATGTTGAACAGGGCAAAATGTCCTTTGGCCTGGATCTAAGCAACGCTGTGCCTTGCAAAAGAACTGTTTGCAAAGATAACAAGAAAGCTATTGTTATGACTACTACACTGCTGACTTGCTGGACTGAAAAAATTAAAAACACTGTTTAGGATTAACATCACTATGTTATGTTATTTGCGCCAATAGAAATGGGTTCCTTCTATTGATGTAATTGTTTTCCCTCCCTTTCTCATGAACACCCATTGCCTTTGTCTCCTAGTCAGAACATTACTTGGGATTCTGCCTCCATTAATGATTCCTGAATAACCATTCTTATTTATCTCAATAAATGCTTGTTGTGTCTCACTTTGAAAGGCCTTTTATTTTTAGGTTAACAGTAAGCCAATTTAGGAATATCATAGAGAGCAAGCCTTACACAGAGAGCATATCGCCCCATGTCATGAATAGGTAATCTTCAATACAGATATCAGCTTTAGTTTATTGCTGCTTGTCAGAACAAATCCCCCAGTTGGATTTCATGAATGGGTGTGGATCTCAGGGGCCTAGGACATGAATCCATAAGTGGCATCTGAAAAAGTTATTGGTGGCTGTCTGCCACACCCTGCCCAAAGATTTTCTTTTCTACTAACTATTCCTTTCCCCTTACTACTTCTGTTTCCTACTTGTCCCCCACTTTCACCTTTTTACGTTTCTATTGCTACATTACTGTAACTCAGGCATTTAATACATTTTTTAAAACATTAATGATTAGTATTGTTGACGTTACTGATAACCTTCAAGTATCTGTTCATTGCATTATACACTGAGTGGCCAGATTATTATGACCACCCAATCAGTACTTCATTGACACTTCCAAAAATACTGAATATTGAAAACTTCCTAAGCAAATACTCTCAAGGTTTTATTATTATTATTATTTGCATAACTAATTCACTTCATTGTACTGATGGGGTGGTCATAATAATCTGGCCGGTCATAATAATCTGGCCACTCAGTGTATTTTAGCCACTGACCTAGGATGGGAGCCAGTCACTGGGAGAATATTTCAAGTTGGCAAGTTCAAACTTCAGAGAGAGAAGATGCCTCTCTACCTCATTGATGCTGAGTACCCAGAATCACTGGTAACTAGGATCTTTGCTGACTCTTACTGACAGCCTAAACCAGCCGTGGGCAAACTACGGCCCGCGGGCCGGATCCGGCCCGTTTGAAATGAATAAAACTAAAAAAAAAAAAAAGACCGTACCCTTTTATGTAATGATGTTTACTTTGAATTTATATTAGTTCACACAAACACTCCATCCATGCTTTTGTTCCGGCCCTCCGGTCCAGTTTAAGAACCCATTGTGGCCCTCGAGTCAAAAAGTTTGCCCACCCCTGGTAAACCCTTACCAGCTATATGATCCCTCTGTCTGTTCTCTTAATAAAAGTAAATCCATGGCATTAGGATACAATTTGAAGAGCCCTTCTGGACTAAGTGCATGGTTGCACTGGGGTCTATATCCCCTACGCTGGGTAGTGAAAAAGCCCATGGGGGCTGGAGAGGGTGAGTCATGCCTAAGCCATTCCATGTCTTCTGTTTCTATTTGAGGAGTACTCTCTGCTCAAAACCCTTCTTTCCCAGAAGAGCACAATAGTTAAAAGGTTAACAGAATGCTTTTCACTACTTTCGGAACCTAGAAAAGCATGGTGAAGAAAACTTTTCTCCATCACCTCTGAGGAGGGGAAGCCAGGCAGTGAGTGCTGAATCAGTGCCAAAAAGCACAGGGACCAGGGTTTGAGGAAGGGGGCGTGCGGTGGGTGGGAAAGACAGGGCTTTAGAAACCTGCTTGGACCCTGAGAAGGTTTGGCATGATTAAGAGTTTATATGACTCCAAAACATGACGACTGAAAACAGATTGCACTTCAGTCTGAACTCACCCTTTCCCACTTTGTGGAACAAATAGGAGAGGGCAGGAACCTGACCAACCCTGTTAGCTGATGTAGGAAGTGCCATGGTTTGAAGACTGCGTAAAGCCTGGACTCAGAAGACCACAGAGACATTGCATGACCTTAGCAGGTTGTTTCAAAGCTTGGGGGATGGACAACATGGAAACACCAGACTGCCAGAAGGCCAAACCTGAAGTAGGGCGTCATGCTGCACAATGTCTCCCAGGGACTCCTGAAGCATGGCAGGGGCTACAAGCACTTACCTAAAATAAACATCTCCTTTTACAGAATTTTGTCCAAAGCTGGCTTCATCCAGAAGTTATTTTTAATCCCGTGACAGTATTCTTCAGTATCTAAAAGTCACAGGGCAAATATCAAGCTGAATAGTGTGTGTGTGTTGTGTGTGTACATTGGAGTTCTGGTTATTTCTGCACTGATTTGGCACTCTACTTCCCTCTGCTGGATAAAAGTGGTACTGCATGGCCCTAGCTGGTGTGGCTCAGTTGGTTGGCCCTCATCTGGCCATCAGGGCTCATGACCAAAGAATTTCGGCTGGACCCCAGGTAGAGAGCATACAGGAGGTAGCCATTCAATGATTCTCTCTCATCACTGATGTTTCTATCCCTTTATCATTCTCTCTTCCTCTCTCTGAAATAAATTTTAAAAATATTTAAGAAAAAAAAATATAAACCGCTTTTAAAAAAAAGATGCAGCATGGTTTCTGAAAAACACACCCATTTACACACCTCTAAGTTTGAAAGGGTTGAGGGTCTGGCTAATGTTTGGCTATGGAGACCTTGCAGGGGAGTGCTCCTGAATCAGAATGCACCCTACCTTTCATTGCCATCAATCTTCGGTCTCTGCAATCTCTTACCTAGAAAGAGTGCCCAGTAAAGTACCTCGATCTTTGCAAAGTATGGATGCATAGTGATTGCCAAGCAGATTCTGGAGCAGATTTAGGGCCCACAGGAAATCTTCACTTGACACAAAGTCACTCAGTGTGGGTTTAGACTATTTTAGTCTTGCCATGGGCTCCTGCCAAGCGTTTGAAAACTTGTGTTTCTGTTGCGTTTTCCTCCCTGAAGTCAAATCCCATTCTATGACTTTAGCTGATTCATTTGGAATACCCTTCCCATTGAAAAAGCCTAACAAACGTTACCTGAATCAGCTGTGAGAGCTGAGCAGCAGAGGCAAGAATCCCGGTGGGCAGTTGCCAAGGCGAGGCCCAGGAGCACCTGCTTCAACTGACCATTCTGGTTTTTCTCTCTATATTTAACATCCTACCGCAGAACTTCTACTGCATTCACGCATGTGATAAGCTACCCCTCAGCATGTCCTCTGTGTTTATGTTTGAGAACAGCAAATCC